CAGCAGGCTACAGTCTGACACACCTCAGATTAGTCACTTTTCATCCGAATAAACGTGGAGCAGTGTCAGACTCCTCCTGATCTTAAAGTGACCAGCCTGAGTGAAACAGAGGCCAGTAAATGACATCATGCATGAGAATAAAGCAGATCATCTTAAAGGGACAGTACACCCAAACATGATCAATCTGTGAGCATTTACTCCCCCAAACCGTTAGAGTTTCTCTCGTGTGTGGAACATCAACGAAGATATTTTGAGAAATGTCTGTTTTATTGTCCATACAGTGAAAGTCAATGGTACCCAAATGGTGACCAAAACTGTTTACCATCATTCTGCAAAATATATATTTTTTGGTTCTGCAGAAAAATATACAGTTTGGGACATTTTCATCTTTGGGTGACCTGTGCCTTTAAGAGACCTTTCACTAAGCTCTGCCCTTCTTGCTTACTGTTGCTAACTCAGACAGGCTTTATGAAAACATACACATAAGTGTATTGCTCAGTCAAATGTGCTGATAAAGTGATAAAAATGGATTAGATGTTATTCCTGGACTGTGACATTGTGAAGCATTTATATCTGCTGTTTTACTTAAAGAAGCTACACAGTAACTCGATTACAGTTTTATTCAACTGCTTGCACACACAATCTTTACCGTATTCACAAAACATTTAATAAGAGTTCACCTAAATAGCAGTAAAAGTTTGTGTCAGCAGCTTTGTGAATAGGCTTTAAGAGAAAACTCTTAGCTAAGGAATAGAAAGAAGTCTTAAGCTCAGAGTAAGGGGGCGGGGTTGCTGTGGATGATGTCAGCATGCTTATTAGCTATGCACACAGTGATTGGCTGATAGTCTCTGTCAGAGACTTATTCATAGAAATATTGTAGATCGCAATATTATGTTGCCATATTCAAATAAAGATTTAAAAATAAAAATGTTGGCACATTCAAATAAAGATTTTAAAATGCAGGCTAAGCGTCACTAATTAAACAGTATACGTTCAGCTAAATGTCAGCCTCTTATGTGTGTGCTTCTTGTAAACAATTAGCGGAATTGCATATAAACAGCTTTTTAATTAACAGAGTAGAATAATCATAGCTGATAGTAAGACATGCAAACGTAAAGAAAATGAGTGTTGTGTGTGGTCAGTGGTTCACGTGATGCGCCGCAGCTTCAGTAGGCCAGGGTTTCTCCTTCATCTCACACACACTTCTGCTCATGCCCTGCATCACGTGTGTCTGGATCAGGCTTGACTCTCTTGCTGTTTCAGTTCAGAGTGTTGTGGAAAACTGCATTGCTTCTGTTTCCAGTGCTGTAATGCAAATGAGCACAAATGCTGAAACCACACCGCTGTCGCGATGAAAGCACAGATGGTATTACACGGCTCACTGTTTGCATCGGGAATCAGCAGGCTACAGTCTGACACACCTCAGATTAGTCACTTTTCATCAGTATAAACGTGGAGCAGTGTCAGACTCCTCCTGATCTTAAAGTGACCAGCCTGAGTGAAACAGAGGCCAGTAAATGACATCATGCATGAGAATAAAGCAGATCATCTTAAAGGGACAGTACACCCAAACATGATCAATCTGTCAGCATTTACTCCCCCAAACCGTTAGAGTTTCTCTCGTGTGTGGAACATCAACGAAGATATTTTGAGAAATGTCTGTTTTATTGTCCATACAGTGAAAGTCAATGGTACCCAAATGGTGACCAAAACTGTTTACCATCATTCTGCAAAATATATATTTTTTGGTTCTGCAGAAAAATATACAGTTTGGGACATTTTCATCTTTGGGTGACCTGTGCCTTTAAGAGACCTTTCACTAAGCTCTGCCCTTCTTGCTTACTGTTGCTAACTCAGACAGGCTTTATGAAAACATACACATAAGTGTATTGCTCAGTCAAATGTGCTGATAAAGTGATAAAAATGGATTAGATGTTATTCCTGGACTGTGACATTGTGAAGCATTTATATCTGCTGTTTTACTTAAAGAAGCTACACAGTAACTCGATTACAGTTTTATTCAACTGCTTGCACACACAATCTTTACTCGTCACACAGTTTCTGAAAGCTGACACTCGAACACTCAGCAGAAGCACACACCAGATCTGCAGACCCACACACTGATCCTCAGCCTTTGACTTTTTCAATTTCATAAAACACTTTTTGCAAAACACAACACACAATTCTCTATGTAAGGCACAACAATCTAACAGGAATTAATATTATTAATAAATGTTTGCTTTTGAGATGTGTTTGTGATATTTTGAATGCAGTGCTTCATTCTGCAACAGATGTGAGGTATTTTGCATTTTGTGTGCAATTCTTGAATTTGTGTGTAAAGTTTTGAAACGAAGAGGCAAAGTTTTGAAAATGTGTGTAAGCAGCTGAAAAAAACCTACTGTTAACCAATGAACAGGTTTTTACTGTAGTATTTTTTACATTCTTTTACCATTACAATCATTATGACACTTGGTGCTGACTGTTTTCCACATGTTAGATTAACAGTAAAGTGAGAACTCTAAAATAAATAAATGCATTATTTATATTTGAGATTCTTCTTAGTGTAGATTCACTTTGGACATTCATTAACAGACTTCATGAGGTGAATCCTGGGATGCTTTTAAACATATGTGAGAAGCATTTTCTGTACTTTGTAGACATATGCCTATATATGTAGACTTAACTCATATTTGTCTAGAAACCTGATGTTCAAGCATTTAAGCAGAATAATTGTGTGTACTGTATGCCGTGTGTGTTTGAGCGCAGTGCAGTAAAACTCAATTCCCCATGCACGGGCCGTTTGAAGTCCAAATGCTCTCATCACATGCACAATTAACTTGAGCTCTGGACGGCCGTCGTCATGAGCTGCTCGTCAGCCTGAGGCTATCGCAGGGTCAGAGGTCACCGGGACAGTCTATCCCGCCAGAGCTTTAAACACATGCGTTGCTCTTTTCCAGTCTGTCTATCCGTTCTCACGACAAATTAAGGTCATTTCTGTCGCGCTCGCCTTCGAACAGCGTGATAGTAATGATGTTAGTCAGTGCGGTCACGCTGCTTCAGTTAGTCCACTCAGGTGTGTCCAGAACGCAAGACTGCCAATTATAAGCCTTATTTCAGCTTTTGGCCTTTTGTTATTTGAGGCTGCTAAACGGGTTCGATTTCATTTTGGTTTTGCAGGTCACTTTTAGCCAACATATCATCACATTTAGCCCAGATTTGGTTCAGCTCGAAGGAACCTCATCTGGTCTTGAAAGCTTTGGCTGAAAACAGAGATGTGCTATAGTAACATTCCTCGATCTGCTTATATTATGTGCCCTAATCCCGTATGTAATTTAGGAACGCTTAGAGATTCAAGAGCTCGCCCAGACTTTAATGTCAGCTATATAAGTTAGCAAGTGTTTATTGTAAAAGCGAAAGCTGCCAGTGGAATCGGGTTTTTGGAAGCATTTTGGCCGAGCTTGACACAATAAATCTAGATCTCCTGCTGGGGCTTGAGCTGCACAAGGACTTTATTTGAGTCATTAGGCCAAATGAGCCATGGACTTCACAGCCTAAACCACGCCAAAGCAGTGTGTTAACACACTTGATGCAGTGCCAGAGACGATCTGCCGAGTGCCGACTGAATGAGGTGCTTTTAAAACAAAGCACGAAATCTTGGAATTCTTGCTAGACGCAAAAAATATTTTTTTCGCGAAATTGAAAACAGCTTGCAGCTTTTGGAGACCGAATGAATGCCCTGCTTTGAGGATCATCCCATGATGGCGTAGAGGATGCAGATGTTGGTAGACTGTGCTCAGGACGTCTGAACACCTCCTGCTCTACATGCTCACCAATGCTGCTTACCGTGCGACATACACTGCTGATAGTGTGTCTGCCGATAGTGACGATTGCTTGGTTTACACAGTTGTTCCTGTAAAATGTTGCTCCAAGCATGTATTTTCATATTAATATTGTTGTAGTCAGAGATGTCATTTATTACAGACATGGGTAGTTGGAGACCAGCAATATTTACTTCTTCTCCATTGTTGTTCAGTCATTGTTCAATTAGACAGTTGGCGATGTTTGTCCCGCCCCTCCTCCACTGTGATTGGACGGCTGGGTGAAAAGTGGCAGCGATAAGCGCTGTATTTTACCCAAAGTTGAACATTTTAAAATTCTCAAATGACCAGAAGAAAGGGCAAGTGCTCAGCGTT